GCGATACTACACTTGTTACTGTGTAACATTGCATGTCTTACTGCGATATTACACTGGTGTACTTCATTTCATACATCTATACGTCTTTATGCAGGACATATCGGAGTTCCAACGTGAAAGAACCGGGTCAGGCGGCCGCGCCGTCATCCAATTTAAACACGGCATTCAGGCTTATCAAAGATGTACAAAAAAAATTTAAGACGAGAGAAGCAGAAGAAAGGGAAAAGGAGGTGAGAGTACTAACAGAATAGTTTTCTGTATACTGCTAGATTTAATCTGTCATTGTATAATGTAATTATGGAAATAAGTTTTGATTTAATTGAAGTTTTGATTCATCATGTTAGGTATTCACATTGAAAAAGGAAATACGATTGTATGAATTATTACCATACTAAAAGGTACTCAACAGTGACATCAAGAAAAAATACAACAAATACCATGATAATGAAAAATAATACAGACACATGTCTCCATTTTAAATTTGATATATCAAACTCAGCAAGATTAATCAGTGTATTGAGGTGGCACTACTCATAGGGTCTGTAAACTTTCTGTAAGAGTGATGTATATATTTTCGTCTTAACTAGTCGTATAATGGGCCATTCAAGACAAAATGATACTCGTTTTTGATTGTGTTTAAACTACAGACCAGACAAACCATATTTGCTCTAGGGACCAGTTTCAATCATTATTTAAGCTCAGAGAATTCAAGAATTAATATACAGAATATGTTTATCAATACATTGCAAATACTTTATATTGATTTAGTCCTTTGTGGTCACTGTCATCTTCCTGCCAGTGCTGGTAATTAATGTCTCAATGTAGCTTAGAAAAGTTTTGTAAATATCTGTTAATTTCCAACCCCTTGATTGAGTCGGACGTCTTCAAATCCATACAAGAATACGAGCATTTTACTCTGTATGCCAAAAAAAGTTTATCTTTCTCAACGCAAAAGAATTGAAATTTGTAATATTAATATACATAACTCGCCTGGTTCATTTTCAAAAAAACAAAGCCAGTAAATATCAATTCTAATATTGCATCTAGATGTTAGTTTACTGTGAAATACTTCATTTTATTTGGAATTAATTTTCGCTGAATGGACTTTTTGGGTGTTTTGAATGGAATTTATTTTCACTGATTTTTGATGAGTTGAATGTAAAATATAGGGAAAAGGTATATTCATATTTTATTCTCACTGAATCATTTCTTCAGTGAAAATTAATTCCAAGTATTTTACAGTATACTGTTAAAGCTCACATCAGAATTTCATGCATTAGATGAGTTTTCAAATTCAATACGTATTTACAAAATTTGTTCGAAATGGTTAGAATACCTTCTTTATCAAATCCCCAAATTTCAGATTCATACATAACTATGGGGGAGATTTTTACCCTCAAAAATGGTCATAGCGGTCTTAATTAAAACGTGTGTAAATTTTGATAGTGAACCTCTTGACCATGAATATAGCTTTTCGCGATTGTTTTTGAGCTTTGAACCATTCCCAGAACTTTACAGCAAAAATACAGTATACTGTAATGATACAAAGCAACAGAGGGGATGCAGCTTCTAATAGAACATCTACACATATGAGAAATGGTGAATTTTGTGGTTCTCAATTGTTCAAAAATGAATGGATGCGACTTCTATTAGGGATGTGGCTTCTAATATAGATTTCACGTATGATTGAATATAAAACCATAAAAAAGAGTCTTCCACCTCGCTTAAAAAATAGAAATACAGCAAATATAACTAACTTTAACTTTATTACAGTTCGTCTCTGAGTTATTACAGCTAGTCTTTGTTTTTATATCTCTGTAGGGTATTGTGAAACAAGACACATTGCTAATCAATCCAAATAGGGGTAATCCCAAATTGAAAGATCTTTACATCCGACCAAATATAGCTCAGAAAAGAATACAGGGAGCCATTGAGGCACATACAAACGGTAGGTCATGTTCATGGTCAAAATCCAAGAGTAAAGATTACTGTAGTCACATGGTGATTGTGTTTCAGTCTACTGTAAAATCAAAACTTACCATACTAATTCGGGACAACATTCAAACAAATATGCTGGGGCTAAACTCTGGAATAAAATTCCAGGAGGAATTCGTTCCATGAGCTCAAGAAATTCATTCCAAAAAAAAAATGAAAAGATTTTTACAGTATGCATAAATGAGCTGTATGTAAATGTTTTTTAGCGTCCACTTAGGGACGACGTCAAAAGATCGATGTCGGATAAAAAAACTTAATTCCTTTAGTTTTTTTCCAAACCCCCCTACCCCCCACTGAAACTTAATTGATAAATATTGGTCATGGCGTCAGACTACATTCACCATTAAATACAAATTGATAATCGGACAGTAGTATTGCATAGCAGTTGGTTGTCGGGTGGGTGTAAAAAAAATTTTACAAATGCACCTCATTTGACGCACATACACGCGAACCAAACCATTTTTCTGTTTGTTTTTTCCCGTTTCGGTTATTTCTGTCCATGATTGGATAGAAAAAAAAACGAACTACAAATACTCCAAGATTTGTTTGACTTCATTAAAAAATAAAATCGTTTTTGTAGGATGGAAACTTTTTGAGGTCAAAACCCCCCACCCCCAAACTAAAGGAAATAAGTTTTTTATTCAACATCGATCTTTTGACGTCGTCCCTTATTATTGTAGTTTGTATTTCACCTAGAAAAGGGGGTGGACTCGACTAGTGTTTTACACTATTTTCCAGCTTCCTATTCACTATGTATTTCAGTGTTGTTTGTATTGTATTCTTTTATCAATATTACCTGTACATTAAGTGAATAAATTAAATTCAATTTAAAAAAAAAAAAAAAAAATATATATTACTAGACTATCTACCAAAATATAATTTGGAAACTTGGCCATAATGCTGTGCTGAATATCGGCCTAATTGTTATTATCTAATTATACAAACATATAACGTCTTAATTTTCTCATTTTCTCTAGGTTTCCGATTTACATCCGTGCGGGGTGACAAAGTTGATATTTTGTACAACAACATCAAGCATGCAATTTTCCAACCCTGCGACAGTGAGATGATCATCCTTTTACATTTCCACCTCAAGAACGCCATTTTGTTCAGTAATAAGAAGCACGTTGATATACAGTTTTATACAGAAGTTGGCGAGATTACGACTGATTTACATAAGCACCACAATATTCACGACCGAGATGACCTCGCTGCTGAACAGGTAGGGTTTTTTCCTCTTTTCGGTAACTTAACATGCTCAGATTGAGACGTGCCTGTATGTACATTATTTTCCTTATTTGGTTAACTATAAATCACAAGACAAACTGTCTGTGTGTACATTTACACTTGGGGCGAGTCAAAGTATGTGATTAAAACTTGTTTTGTGAATTTTTCTTCGTAACATTGTAACATAGTTTAAGTTGTTTGAAGATCTCTACATGTGGATATGTGTTAACATTTTTTGGGATTGAAAACCGCAAGTCTGATTGTTTTGCTATTACATATATATATAGGTACTACAGGGTAGACCTTTCTCAGATTTGTTCATTTGATGATATCTTTAATTCTCTAATTTTAATGTTTTGGTAAAAAGTGATATTTTCGAATTCTTGTTGAAAACAGCAAGGTTGATTGCTTTGACTATATACTAATTGTTCATTTTCTAATGATATCTTGAGTTTTTATTAATTGCAATGTGCATTGCAAACAGTGGAGCTATCTCAGCCGACACTCTGCTGGTTTACACTTGAGATCACTTTATCTGCAGCTACCGTTAAAATCCTATTATAAACCGCGGTTTATATTACAATGTATCAAATACAAAATTGGGATCAACAGCTCAAGTTCGGGGTGCGGTTTCTATTACGTACATATTGCAATAACTAAATGGGCGTGGTCATTTTTTTCTCACATCACTTGCTCAAAACAAACAATACACCGTACATCTTTTGAATATAAGGGTAACTCCAATTTAGATGTCAGGGAAGAGTGATAAGCGTCACGTCACAAAAAAACTGTTCACATGAAAAAAAATACTCAGTATTTTTATTGTAATATGCATTTATTTTTTTAATTTTCTTCGTAACGGAAAGTATATTCTGACAGAAGTTTCAAATAAAAACAAGCACTAAAAAAGTACGGTACCGTGGGTACGGTAACGCAATCCGGCCATGCTTCGGCTCACAAGTGAATAACTTACTTGTTTTCGAAGTGTTGAAATTGTTGATTATTACTCAGTAGTAATTATAATAACGCACGAAAAATAAATTCGTTGAATTGTTATCAAATGCAAGTAAAATTCAACTTAGTTTCACCGTAAGCAAATTATTTCGGTCACATGTAAACGATCGTGGCAATAAGACATCCGCCATGTAATTTGAATGCACACGACACGTTACTTGACCCAGGGTGACTTGACCAAATAGGTCAAGTCGCTAATTAACCAATCAAAATGATGGATGGTGCCCATGTGTTCAAATTACCTTGGTTCATTTAAATATGTTAATGAAAGGTCACCGACTTCATGGTGAACGAAAACCGGAAGAGATTTACCGATAGTGTCGTGCGATCTTTTGGCTTTGATTTCCATGGAAAAACGACATGACTTTTTTTAAAATTAAGAAATTAGTTGTTTTCGAAAGATAAACTGAGCATTGAAAAAGCATTCAACAGTTTTTCGGTGATAACAGCTCATTGTCAAAAAACTTGCGACACGTGGACGTATTCATAAGGAGTATTGACAAAAGTTGTCGCAAGAACAAAAGCAGTTTCACTGCGTGTTTGACATCCTAACACGACTGAACAATAAAGAGGTGTGAATATTTTTAGGCACGTTGTCGGAACAAATGAATAGGATTAGGAACAATGTACCAGCTCGTTGAAACAAAGTCAGTCACGGTCTTGTTGAATTGGGGGTGCGGTTAGTAATAGGTACTTTTCATGTTTTCAATTTTTGTTGAGAACTCTTTAACACTGAAGCCGAAATCGGGGGTGCGGTTTATAATAGGATTTTAACGGTAGTCCTAGTCAATTTATGACCTTGGCATACGATTCAATAACTTTTTTTTTTTTAACTCATCACAGGCTGAGCGAGAACTTCGACACAGATTAAAATCTGCTTTTAAAAGTTTTATAGAAAAAGTTGAGAACCTGACCAAAGGGGATATAGAGTTTGAGATACCATTTCGTGAGCTGGGATTCCACGGAGCTCCACATCGTAGTACGGTGTTAATTCAACCAACAAGTAGTTGTATAGTCAATATTACAGAGTGGGTAAGTACATTATTATCGCTTTGAATGGATAAGTTATCTTTTGTCACTTATCAGAAAATAAATTTAATTTTTTTGTTCCGGACAATGTGAAGTTGCATTCATATATTTATTTATTCATTTTCATCCATTACAATAGATTGTAAGTGATTCTATAAATAAATAGAAAATAGGTCATCACATTCACACTGAGGTTCCATTTATTCAAAACATCCCATATTATTGATCTGTTTTTTGAAGTGTTTCAGTTAAATATTTGCCGTAGCTTTGTCAGTAATTATTACCATACTTTGCTTCCTACAAAGCCGACATTTGTGGTGACGCTGGATGAGGTGCAACTGATCCACTTTGAGCGTGTCCAATTTCACATCAAGAATTTCGACATGGTGTTTGTGTTTAAAGACTACTCCAGGAAGGTGTTCATGGTGAATGCTGTGCCAATGAACTCATTAGACCATGTCAAGGATTGGCTCAAGTGAGTTTGCGATCATTAATTTAATCAGTTATTGAACTTGACATTGTCGATATCCTCCACACGATTATACTTCAAATATCATTTCTATAATTGAAATATTTCACTTTATCACACAAACCAGTTATGGAGGTTTTATATATGCACATCAATTTTCTTTACCATTTTATCGAGTATATCTGACTGGCGGCCATTTTGTTGCTTAAATTTGCTAAATTCTGAATTCAGAACCAGAACAATTTCTCAACGATGAGCAAGGTGATTTTTTTTTCAAACTTTTCAGGATCATAATTTTTTTCAGGATTCAAACAAAAATGACTGACTCAGTGCAATTGACTCTACATATTGGATTTTGGTTGCACTTTACGTTTGTTAGTAATTGAAATAAATATGCTCAGTTCATTACATTACACTGCCAGCAACGATTGATCACATCACTGCATTATTTAGAGAAAAGTACGCCCACATTTTTAGATCGCTGCTAATCTAGGAATTGGGCAATAGATACAGAATGGAGCTGTGCATTGTCATTGTTTGCTGCAATTGGAGTTTATCACCTGATATCACAAATTAGTATAGCTGGTTGATACTCTGTACCATGATCTATACAATCTTCTAACCTTGATTAATAATATAGTCAAACCTGTGTTAACGGCCACCTGGATACAACGGCCACCTGTCTATAGCAGTCACAACCGAACAGTCCCTACGAATTTTACATGTAAAGTACCCTGTTTATAGCGGCCACCTGCCTAACACGGCCACGCTTCAGCAGCCGCAGTGATCAGTTGAACTGCATATAACGGACATAGTTCCCGGATGTCTTGCAGACTACTGCCTTCCATCTCAGACAACTAATAAGCTCACAAAGGACAAAGTTAGCACGTTTTCACACCTTTCATTCAACCGATGGTTTCGGCAATTATTCTTGTTTCAGTTAAGCACACCAAGCACACCGTACCGATGGCTATGGAACGCCAAAAACATAATTAAGAATATGAAAGTGTCTTGATAAAAAAACATGCTGTCATTAATGTTTTGTTGAAATATGTATACCATGGGAATAACTTACAATTTTGTTCAATAAATGAATCGAGTAACCACAACGATGACGACCCGCAAAAGTTTTGTGAGTCGCCGGGACACAGTCACGGTCCCAGGTCCCTATCCATGTGGCTGGGGTGAATCGGAATGCCGAGGGTAAATCCCCGATCGAATTGATTACCAACAAAAAAACATAACAACTCACTTGTTATTTAGTATTGATATTTATTCACTTTGAACTCCTATAAATATCGATAAATACGCATGTAACTGGAACTGATAGCAAAAACGAAAAAAATCAACGCAATGGCCATGCCTGTTGTTTATCCATCCAAATAAATTATGCTAATTAGCCTTGCGCATGTGCGTTCTTGTTCTTCTGGGGTTATGATAACTTGGGTCAAAAAGTAGAGTCGCTTCCGTTACTGCCTATCGGTCACTGCGAGGGAATGTGTGTGCAGTATTATCTTGTTGTCCAACTAAATTCATTCAACTATTTTGTTCTCTCGGTCGCTACTGCCTCGGTACATTTAACAATAGATGCTTTTAACAATGATGTTAAATTGACCTCAGTTCGCCGGCCAAAGTCGCCAGGCATATTTCACATGTTTTTATTGTACCATCAGTACAATAACATGGAAGTCGCACAGATTTCGATTGCGCAAAGTAATGTTTTGATTAGGGATCAACCATTTCGTAAGTGAGGTAGGTCGAGAAGATTTTTGAAAAAAAATGAACAAAATGTTAAGGGAATTGTGATTGGGGAGGAAACTTTCAAGTTGTCACGTAACTGGAAGGAGATCCATCACTACAATAGATAAGTGTTCTTTTCGTATACGTAACGTTGTAGGGATCAATAAAGCACTGCTAACTGTCCCTCTCCCTTCTCCTTGAAAGAATTTGCTATAGCCCAGAGACACTCCGATTTATTAGAACAGTTACCAGACACAATAGATATTAAAAGAAACATACAAATTCAGAATAGCTAAGCAAAGAAAGCTGAGTGATTTCTTTAGTAGGAAATGAGACTCAAACTGCTGCTGAACATGAACTTTACTGTACAAATCTTCAAATAATTTTCATACTACTCATTATTGTGCAATGATCGATTTTTGTGAACTGATTTTAGTTTACATAATACAATTTAAAACCAACATTTTTTATTTGTAATAAAGTGTTTGAATACTGTGTACAGTAGTGTAATAGTGTGTGTCAAATGGGGTTGCGAGATCTGTTTTAATACAGTGATTCAGTGCCTAATTAATATTCATGAATAAGTTAGTGAACCTGTATAGAAAGGCCACCTGTCTATAAAGGCCAAAATTTCAAAGTCCCTTGGGTGGCCGCTATAGACAGGTTTGACTGTATAGCCATGCCATTACACATTTTAACAGAAGTAACCCCCTCCAAAAAAGATTTTAATACAAGTTCCAGGAATTTAACCTTTGACATAATGTCTGTCTGTCTACAGCTCCTGTGACATCAAATATACTGAAGGTGTGCAGTCATTGAATTGGTCCAAAATCATGAAAACCATCGTGGACGACCCAGAAGGGTTTTTTGAAGAGGGAGGATGGACTTTCTTAGAACCAGAAAGTGATGTGAGTCCTTTTGAAACTTTATTTTTTTGTCAACTCATGAATGCATGAATTACATCTGTTTTGTTTTGACATTTGTTACTACGTATCAGTCTGTATTCAGGCCAGTCAATCATTTTATCAATTCCTATTTCCGTTACATTTGGCTGCTTTTTGTTTGTTCCCAACAGGTTGATGATGACGATGATGATGATGAGGATGAAGATGCCGCTTACATGCCGTCTGGTGCCGAGAGTGGTGGTGCTGGATCTGACGAGGAAGATTCTGAAAGTGAATACTCTGGTGTAACTGAATCGGAATCTGATTGGTCAGGTAAGGAGTTGATAATGATTCTGAAAGTGAATACTCTGGTGTAAAACTGAATCGGAATTCAATTGTTCAGGTAAGGGATGGTCACCTGCATTTTTTAGCTCTGCTGTCGAGCAGAGCTTATCATATGAGTGATTGTCCATCGTCGTCCATGTCAATGTTTTAATTTTTCGACTTCTTCGTGAAAACTACAAGCCTGAATGCTTCGATACTTGGTGTATATGTACCTTGGGTAGACCTCTCTCAGATTTGTTCATTTCATGATGATATCTTCAATTCTCTAATTTTAGTGAACATTTTTGTCATTTTTGGTAAAAAGTGATATTTTTGACTTGTTGAAAACCGCAAGTCCAATTGCTTTGATATTACATATATAGGTACTACATGTGGACCTGTCTCAGATTTGTTCATTTCAAGATGATATCTTCAATTCTCTAATTTTGGTAAAAAGTGATATTTTCAACTTCTTGTTAAAAACCCAACTTCTTGTTAAAAAGTCCAATTGTTTTGATCTTACCGTACTCGACCGCGTTAGCGCCCATGCCCGGGCAAGCGCCCACCCCCCACTTTTGCGCAATTTTTATATTTGGGGTCACATTCGGCAAAGCGCCCACCCCTTCAAAATGCAACTAATTTAAAACTTGGTCTTGCGTAACGAATCTTGGTAATCGTTTTTATATGATACAGTGTGGATATTGACCGCTGTGAACATGTTGTGAATGCGTAGAACGCGGTAACCGTGCAAAAACTACGCTTCGACAATGACCTGTTAATACAAGTAAAATGCGGTAAATATTTCATGCCATATTCAGTTTACCTCTCAAAAATGGCTAGTTACTAGTTTTTTGGAAAAACCATGTCGCTGAAATCAATTCCAACAGATCGTACTTCGACATCGATAATTCACTTCCGCATTGCGTTACCGGAAAGTCTTCGAGAATTTCCGAAGAATTGCGTCAGTACAACACAGCATTGTGATTGGTTAATAACCAACTTGACCCATTAGTCAAGGACGCCGCTGCAGTGAAATCTGCAAATGCATCATGGCGGAAAGTGATTTTGTTCGAGAGTTTGCGTACGATCCAACACCTTCGTCAGTGGAGATAATATGACAATTTTGACTTCGACTGTGTTCCAACAGACTCAAATGTTTTTAATTTCGTAAATTCTGGTGGTACGTAATTAATATTGTAATAAAATGTGCATATTTTTTGTGATCATTTCTGTTTCTTCGTTGTGAAAATCAATGACGACTCAACTAATTTCGTAATTTGATTTCCCTCAAAGACGTAATCTGTCACTTGATGAATCAAATTTTTCATTTGCACTCTTTTTCGAGGGGGGTGCTCGGGTAAGCGCCCACCCCTAAAAAATCGTGATTTTCTGAGTTGAGGCCCCTGGGCGCTAACGCGGTCGAGTACGGTACATATATAGGTACTACATGTGGTTCTAACTCAGATTTGTTCATTTCATGATGATATTTTCAATTCTCTAATTTTGGTGAATATTTTTGTAATTTTTGGTAAAAAGTGATATTTTCCACATCTTGTTGAAAACCGCAAGTCTGATTGTTTGGATACTATACATATTGTTCATTTTTTAATGATACTTTCTGTTCTTTAATTGAAATGTGCATTGCTAACAGCGGAGCTATCTCAGCCGATAGGCTGCTTGTTTAAAACAATTCATTGGTCCCTGTCTTCATTTGTATGTCTGTGTCCATCCATCTGTGCTTTTGTCATTTCTCAGATACGCTGAGATTGATTTTGTTTAATGGGATACTTGATTTGTTTTGCATTTTGACTGACTAATGGCTATTTTTTTCCCAAATTCAAAAATTCATTTAAATTCATTCAAAAAATGGTAGGTTAGTGATGCATGTCAGTTTGTTTTGTGATTTGAACCAAAATGATTATTGTTATTTTTTGTCCATGACTGATTTTGTTAAAAGTAGGTACAAAACAAAATAATGGTATAAATTTGCACATTGACTCAGGTATACCTGGGCCAATTTCTGTCATAATTTAAACATGACACATGATGGACTACTAATGCACATGAATTTGTTTTGTGATTTTTTTCCTCTAATATTTACTTATAATCTATCTACGTTATTTACCATACAATTGCTTTTCAAAAGTAAAATAATGTCAATTTCACTTTCATGGATGATGCAGATGTAAAGCATATTACGTCATGGCAACATTATTTTCTATGGCAAGGATATATATTTTGGTTAGTATCGCTGAAATACATGAAATGTTGACAATGTTGTGATGTAATAATCCTCTTGTCTAAATTGTGCAAGTGTGTATAACTTTCATCAGCGACCTTGTAGTTTTTGAATATTTCAAAATACATTGTGAAATTTATAAATACCAAATTTAATAATGATTCATATTGGGTAAAAAGAAATAAGCAAAATATTCATCCTTTCATAGCACTTTCCTTGCATTTTTAAACACAAACAAATTGTATGCAATTATCTAATTGTGATCAATATATGTATCACCTTGCAGAAGATCTAGATTCGGACCAATCCAGTGGTAAAGATTGGGACGAACTGGAAAAAGAGGCTGCCAAAGGTATGTCGTTTAAAAGCTTGTTAAATTTTTTAGGGCGTTTCGTTTCATTCTCACCTAGTGACATATTCTGAACGTAAGCAGCTGTGAAATGTTTAACTTTGGACTTTCCATTTGCAGCCGACCGTGAGTATGACATGGAAGATGATGAAGATGCTAACAGACGTAGACGTGGCGGTGGTGGTGGTGGTAGGAGCGGCGGCGGTGGTAGTAGGAGTGGTGGTGGCGGCGGTACTAAAAGAAAAATGCATTCTACTCCACCGAAAAGTAACAAAAAAGCTAGAAGGCGCTGATGTGAAAAGATTGACATGGTGGATTAATTTAACTTTTGAGGCGCGTAGTTTTCATACGAGAGGACAGTGACGTACATTTATATGCAAATATGAAGAGTCTGTCAATCGTGCTCTTGCACTCGTAACTGACTCCCCAAATTTTCGTCATCTTATTTTGATATATTAAAATTACTCTCCAGTTATGATCACGATTTGACTGCTGATTCATGTGGATCAAAAGTAGCAAACATTTTGAGTACTTCCCAAAACTAGACGGCCATGTTTCTGTGTATCTGCCTTATTGCGCATATATATATATATTTGTGAAGCCAACTGGGAATCCACGAATAAGCACGTCAATTAATTACAAGCATTTGGTTGAATAAATAATACCACCAAGGAAGGAATTTAATGTTTCTAATTTATATCAGGTGAGCGTATGTGCATATGCACCTGTACGTACAATTGTTAATAATTTTCTGATAGTATATCCTCACGTTGTTGTAAAGATTATCTTATTTTAAAAGTCAATTTGTGTATACTTTTGCGTGCAAAAGGCCACACTACTCTTTAAAAACAACGTTTTGAATTCTTGATGCGTTCTCGGATCTTTTTATATAAACACATATTCAGCATAGGTTTTTGTATGATGGTCCCAGCGTATAAACATTATTTTCACTTGTTTTTCGTGGTCACAGAAGCAGATTATATATAGGCTCGTTATGTTAGCAACATTTTCTGGTTTTAATTTTATCGAAGCTACATGTGCGAACAATTAATTATCATCGTCGCCGCTTTCAATATCGAAGATGAATATATTTACTGTATGCTTTACTTTATATAGTTATACTGCCAGAAAATCTTTACAAGTTTTTTTCTGTTATCATAACGTGGATTTATTGTGTTTCTGTTAAAATTTTAGTTAGCGATACTATACTAACAGATGGATTTGTTTTATGTAGTAAGAAATATATGAAGCTTGTCTTGACAATTTTATTGTTTGCCAACTTTACTCGTTCATACAGAGATTGAATAAATTCATATTATAATAATTTGTTTTGGAGTGCATGATTGTGAACAGCAGGATTGTTTTATTAACTTTGCTTTAACTGCCATGGCTTAAAGGCCCAATTCACTTGCCCTGGGCAAGTGTGAATTGGAGGTGTGACTATGCTAATGAGTGTTGTTAATCACTTGCTTAGCCTATGACACATCCTGTTTCAGCAGTCCAACATAACGTGACTTTGATTGACAGCAGTTAATTATTCAAGATTAGTAGCGTGTCCCTTTCCCCAGTTCCTGTTTTTTACTTTTATCCGCCAAAATCTCAGCTCGTACACTATTTATTGTAATAAATACTAAACACAGTTACTGCTGTGATATTCATAGTCACATGCATCCACTTTGGCACGACATAATCGACCTGTAAGTTAGAGAAAACGCGTTTTTACCGGAGCTTGTCTGGAGCTGTTTACTACAGTGTGACAAGCAAGGAAATAATCCCTATTGTTTAGGAGCGTATTTATAGTATACCTGGGCCTTTAATGTGCAATTGGTACCATATACTGGAAGCAGGAAATCTTTAGAATGTCATTGCATAGGATTACTTTTGTACAATCTCACGACTGAAAATCAATATAAACCTAGCCATACCAAATTTAGATGGAATGACGTGATAAATGCATAAATGTGAATATTCTGGGCTAATCTGCACTGGCTCAGAAGGTTGTAAATGATTAGCTAGTTTGAATTTCTAATTTGCATAACATTACTGAGAATGAACGTGCATTCAACGCCACAAGTTTTTTGTTTTTTTAGCCAGTCAGAATTCATCTTCCCAGCCAGTGCAGATCAGCAGAATATTCTGACATTGCATGATTGCATGTAATCCAATTCGTTGTATGGTGGCGCTGTTCACTTAGACAATCGCATTTATCATGCCTTGCGTAACTCTTGGAAGACTCGTCAGGCATTCACCGACATATTTCTGGATAAAAGTTGAAAATAGATTTTATTTAAGGTGGCATCAGGAGGATTCACTATTCGGATGTGGACTGTTCTGGTCAGCTGGCTGCTGAATCTGTTGAACTGGAGAGTACCAATTATTACATTGAGAAGTTTAGTTCTGATTCTAAGCAGTTGGCATAGTAGATAGATAAATAATTACGTTGCTGCAATAAAGGTAAATCTATCAGCAAGTCAATGAATTTTGCCAAATTCACAAACTGTTGTAATTCAATCACTGTGTGCTAACCATTTCTGGTCCCGCCACACTGGAAGGATTTGGCCACCTGACTGATATTTTCAGCTAGAGTAGGTTGTTTCTGATCTTTTTCCCGGAAACCAACTCGCCAAAGCATTTCCGACATGGAATTAGTGCGCCACATGCGACAGAATGTAGAAATGTGCAAGTGTCTGTGTGGGTACGTCGTATGTTTGCATTTATTCTGTGTAACGTGGTTGTGGTCAAATGACTTCTTTGTGTACTTGCAATATACTCGTTAAAAGGCCAACGAATTCATTCAAAACTAGAATAAAAATGGTACATGATGTCCCGGTGTGTGATACCGAGTGCGACATCCGCATTTCATTTGTCCTCGCGTGCATTTTTTTGTTTCCACTTGAGGACAATTTCAGACAAAATTTAGAAAGTAACATTTGTTGAATCCTTCCAATCATGGCGGTAAAAGTTGTGAGAGCTTAGAAAGTGCAAAACTTGGATAATAAATAATATAGGTTTAGGTAAAAAGCATAAATAAGCTACTACAATAAATGCTTGACGTATTTTTATGGTGTTGACAATCTTGTACTTGCGTCATCACTTTGATTGTCCAAATTGTTTGTCGCCAAGGCAGCCTCGTGCCTTATGTTCCAACGTCCGCATTTTCCACCTCTTCAATCCCGTGTTTCTTGCTAACCGTGCTCGCTGCAGATAATGGTATCTCAATTCGAACTTTCTGTACCTCGGCAGGGTACGCAATGTAAGCGAGTGTTGCTAGGCCGGCTATGACGAATATTGACGATGTTATAATGACAACAATTTTCCATGCCTCTAAATCTCGAGCCTTCATGGTTTCAACACTAGTTTCGTTCTCGTCTTCGGTAAATAATTCACCCAGTACAACTTCTTGGACATCAGCCGCTGTCTAAAGTATGTAAAGTAAACAGTGAATTCAGTGTGATTATTACAATTTTGTCTGTTTTCACTTTTACATTTTGTTTTAAACCTCCAAACAGAACGTGCATTCCAAACAAAACGTGGAAATATGTCAGTATATTCTGTAGATAAGAAGGATTTGATTGGTTGAGCGATCGAATAAACGATGTCCCATATTGTAATTAGTCAGATTTATGTTAAAGATGGTACAAAACGCTCGTACAACACATCTTGTTTGAATAGCGTGGAATCATACATATCCATGTACAAGGCCAAGAAAAAGCCACTCGTACTATTCAGTTTAAAAATGTGCGTCATAGCTTATTGAAATTGTTTTTGTTTGTTTTTTTCAGAACATTAAAAAGATAAAAGTTTTCCTGAAAAATCATAATGCAAGCATACATTTTAGAATAGAAATAAGTAGCCTGTCAGCTGATACAACTCCGCTGTTGGCGATGTACATTTCGTAAGAACTATTACCCAGTCTAAGAAGTTAGTGCGCAGAATGAAACAATTGATAGGAGATATTAATAACACTATTAAGAATTACGCATTGAACAATTTGCATTTTTTTAGATTCACAGATTGGAAGCCATCTTATTCATCCAGAGTACTAATGTTGGTAATAATAACATTTTTACCAAAAATTCAAAAATAAAAAATTGAATATATCCTTCAAGAAATGAACAAATCTGAGAGAGATCTACTTGAGGTACCCATTTAACCAATATCAAAGCAATCATCATTGTTTAGGGGATTGAACATATCATCAACAAATGTACAAATTTGTAACAATATGAAAGGCATACAGCTGTCAGTTTTCAAAAAATATCCGAAAATGGAAAATTTACGACGACAGACAATCAGTAGTATGAACAACTCCATAGCGGAGCAAATGAAAATCAGTTTGTGTGCGTCGCACGACAGAGGGCAGTCGTCAATTATCAAAAATTTACATGATCAATGTTATACTTACAAAATCAGAACTACTTTGTTGAAGCGCCATCAAGAGAGCGTCCCGGGGTAAGTAAAACCCTGACGCGGCTGAGCAAAATTGATTACTACTCTGGACCTCCACAATGGTGAGAATACTTATGAAAACATAAATTAGAAGAAAAAAAGATATATTAGACAACATTTTTTAAACAATGATTTGATACCCCCTTAAAAAAAAACTTTTTTCTCGAGCTTGGACTATTAAAAACTCGACAAAACAATGAGCTACATCTTTACAGAAAACACCAGGTTTTGTCTGCGATCTGTTTCGACCGTTGGTATGGTGGACATGACTTATGACATTGCGCCCTCTATCGCTCCTGTCGAGATATTTAACTCAAGTCGGAATATTTTCCAAGTGGAAAACATTCATATGATACGATTGCATCATTCCGTTATAAGGGAATAAACTGCACTGTCCACATCTTAATATGTTTCAATCCATGCAATACTGAGCCAAAATTATCTTCGTGGTGTCAAATGGTGGTAAATCGTATAATATGGCGTGTGATAAAGGCAGACAAGTACCTACTAGTAACATGTTTTGGCGGACTTAAAGTCCATTGTCCAGTTGATGTTTGCATACGCAAAATTAACATCCTAACATTTTACCAAATATGCATTCACTTTATATCACAGGGATAAATTTGATTCCGTGTTACATGGATTTAAAGCGGGAGGGTCGTCACCTGCGCACGCGCGGAAATTGAGTCCCAAGCGATGATAACAACACACGCTAAAAACGTAAAGGCTCATGGGCAGACGCTTGTTTGTAAACAATGACTCGCGATGGCCATCTGACGCATGTGCGGGTGATGGCTCCCCCGCTTTAAAACAAAATGTTTATAAACGAGCTCGTGACGCCCCTTTCAAGTTGATACTGTGCGGGAAATTCTCTTTCCGGTATTGTGAGTTGCACGAAAGAGTTACAGACGTAGACAAAACTCTCACCAACCTTAGAGACTCGTGGATGCGTCTTGGATACCCGTTTGCCACCAGTACTTCACTATGACTAATAATATCAGCTGTGTTATCACTGAATAAATACAAATAATGGTAATACTATGAATCAAATGATTCAACTTTTTGTATTGCTCGACAAAAGCCCAGAATCTCAACTCCTTCTAACTTCATCTAAGCAACTAACAGGCAGCTTTCTTTGGCGGAATATGTCAACCAATGAGAAGGCGCCTCAATAGAAAGCGTCGACCTATAACACTAGTTCTATTTGGCTGTTTTTAATCAGATTCACAAAACCACATTAAATTTTGACATAGATGCACAATTTGATGTCAAGAAAAATACGCTGCTTTCTGATTGGTTCAACTGTTGGGCGTTAACTGTTTGGTAGCCAATAAGGTAC